AATTGACTTGTTTGATTAAGGAGGGAACTATAACTACTTTTATAAAAAAACTGGAAACCATTTATAGACTTTTTGCTGAAAATGGATAAAAATGAACTGCTGATTTTGGGATTTATTGATTAAAAATGTTTGTTTATGGGCAGAAGGGAACTATGATATGCAATATGGAAGGGTGAAGATGGTAATTGCTATCTTTGTAACTGCTGCAAAGAAGATTAGAAGTTGCTTCTTTAGATATCTTTCTTTTTCTTACTTTTTTGTTATTCTTCATTTTTTCTTTTACCCTTCTTTTTCTATTTCTTCTTCTATGTTTCTGTCATTTTTTAAATCTTTGTAAAATCTTCTTTTAATTAAAAATATTTATAAAAAAGATATATCTGGGCCTTATTGGGTAAAAAATTTAAATGATTTTTCTTTTCATGAAAAATTGAATCTCTGGAGTAATTATTTAAAAATAGCTAATAATACATTTTCTTGGGAAAACACGCACTCATAATAGAATTCTTACCCTCAATCAACTAGTAAGAATGATACTTTTAAAACTTTTGAGATTTTACAAAAAGAATACAATTTATTTAGAAAGGCTGAATGGCAATACATATCATAATGGATACACTTGTTATTGACCTTGCTTGGCCCTGATGCCCTCGTGGCCTTCGAAACTCCAGAAGCATTGAGTTTATTAGAGAAGGCTTTACTGAAGCTAAACCAACAATGTATTATTTTCATTTTTTAAAAAATCAGAAGTAAACATGGGCAATATACAAGAAATTTGGAATAGAGAATTAGAATATTCCATATTACCCAATGTTCTCAGGTTTTAAGGATATGAGATATGTTTCTTATGATGTAAACATTCTCTTTAAGGTCTATTGGACCTTTCAGAGATTGTTTTTTAAAAAGGCTGGCTCTCATCATTTCTATACTGTAGATGTAATAAATTTGAAGGAGCTTTAATACATATCCAATGGGTGTGTTCATTCTTTATTGGCTAGACATTATTGCTATGGTGAACAAGGTTCTTCAAAGTTTGTTAAGGATTAAAAATGTTAATGTTTTGTTAAATTACATCTCCAAAATCTTAAACCTTTCAATCTCTTAAGAAGTTTGCATATACAGTGGTACCTCTACTTACGAACTTAATCCATTCCGTGACTCTGATCGCAAGTCAAATTGGTCGCAAGTCGAGGTAAATTTTCCCATAAGGTTCAATGTAAATACGGTTAATCATCGCAAGTCAAATTGGTCGCAAGTCGAGGTAAATTTTCCCATAAGGTTCAATGTAAATACGGTTAATCATCGCAAGTCAAATTGGTCGCAAGTCGAGGTAAATTTTCCCATAAGGTTCAATGTAATTACCGTTAATCCGTTCTGGCGTCTGCGGACCATGCGTCAGGGGTGGAAAAGCACCCATGCACCGCGCGGCGGGGTGGCAAAATGCCCGTGCGCTGCGTGGCGGAAAAGCACCCGCGCACTGTGCATCAGGGGCGGAAAAGCACCCGCGCACCACATGGCGGGGCAGAAAAACGCCCGTGGACCACGTGTCAGGGGCGGAAAAATGGCCGCAGACCACGTGTCAGGGTGGAAAAATTCCGCCCGCAAGGTGGAGTTCTCACATCAAGGTAAATTTTTGGGGCCAGAGCTGATTGTATCTCGAAAATTTCGTAAGTAGGGGCGTTCGTAAGTAGAGGTACCACTGTATTATTCTTGAACAGTAGTGAAAAAGATGACATGTATTCATGGAAGAATGCTTATATCCCAGACTCTAAATGTTGGCTTAATGACATTTGTCAACTCTCAGCCTTTGAATCAACTTTGTACTGAAGGAGAGGCAAGACCAGATAATATGATTCAATACTGTCTACATTTAATTCACTGTTTAAAAATTGAATCATAATGTTGAAAAAAGTTATGTAATGTTAACAGTCTGATATATAACCCACAACTATCTTTTATGTGCATATAAAATTAACTACAAACTTTATTGTTAGATAGCCATTTAATATCACAAACTACTAAAGTATCCTTAAAATAATGTTGACTGTAATGTTTCTGAAGTTTAATCAAAAGTTTTTTAAATAAGAAAGTATAAAGTGTACATTAAAGAAATTCATTCACAGAGCAGAAGAAGGGAAAAGGAAATCTGCTGGTTAAATGGCTAGAAAACATGGAAAAAAGTAATTCTGAAATTAAATAAAGCTCCTCCCAAACTCTTCCTCAGGTTCAAGTGTAGATCTCAAGTCAGATGTAGGAATATGCTGCATTTACAGTCTCCCTATTGTGTGAAAGACAGGCTCTTATCCAGAAAGATCATGTTTCATGTACCCCACCAAAACCTTCCATGCATCCTAATCATTAGTAAATGATAGTAATCAACTGCCAAACATTGCATGGGAAGGGTTTACATTGTTTAATTTAAGATAGAGGTAAGGAATCAATAGCCTCTCTATTGTTCAGTCACAACTTTCAGTATACTACACATTAACCACATTGGTTAAGAATGATGGGAGTTGAAATTCAACACTATTTAATGAGCCATAAGCTTCTTATATAAAATATTTTAATAGAAAAAGCAGCATCCCCGCAGCCACGTGATCAAAATTCAGGCACTTGGCAACTGACATGTATTTACGACAGTTGCAGCATCCTGGGGTCACGTGATTGCCCTTTGCAACCTACCCAGCTGCCTTCCAACAAGCAAAATCAATGGGGAAATGCATGATTCACGTAACGACTGCCACAAAAAATGTCATAAAATTGGGTGCAGTCACGTGATGCCTCACTTAATGACTACACTGCTTAACGACAAATTTTCTGGTCCCTATTATGGTCATAAGTTGAGGACTACCTGTATGACATTGTGATCTCAATTTCCAACATTCTCTGCTGGCTTTCCACAACCAAAGTCAATGGGGAATCCAGAAGGAAGTCTTGTGATCATGTCAGGTCCTCGCTTAACGACCCATGTGGTCCTCGTTTAATGACAGTAACCAGGACTGCCAGAATTGCTGTTGCTAATGACATGGTCACATGACATTGCACTTTACCACCATGTCACTTAGTGACAGAGTTCCCGGTCCCAACTGCCATTGTAACCTGAGGACTACATGTACACATTCTTACATGCATCCACTTATTTCAAATTAGCCTCAAAAGATACTAACGAAATGCAGTGTACCTACCAAAAAGAGAGGTGAAAAGGGCTCCAGTCCCAGATGCCAACATCTGTTGCACAGGGGTGATGCCCACCAGGCTCACAGATGAATTCTCGGACATTGTGCTGTTCACCTATAGAAAACATTAGTGCTTTATATTCTTAGTGACAATGGTACCTTAAATCAGTCATCACATGCTACCTGCAGCAAGCATTTTCTACCAGACCCAATGAAGACAGAATCATTTTTGGGGATGCAAGTATCTGAACCTGGGGATGCACGTATTTGAGCCTCTGCCCTTCAGACAATCCTTACATTATTATATAAAGCAGTAGTGAGCAACGTTTGAGGATTCAAGATTGCTACTCCACCTCCTGACCTTAGGATGGCCTTAGGAAGCTATCTGGTAATGTTGCAGTATCACTTGAAAGGATGTGGCTGAAAGTTTTTGGCCCTTTTTGGGAGATGCTGAAGCATAGGGATGGGAACCACCTGAAACTCTGAAAAGCAGGGCTGAAATTATGCTGCTGAAATTTAGCCCTTTTGCTGCCACAATGCAGAGGTGCAATATCAGGGTGCTGTGGGTTGCACACAGTTTGTAGAATTCCCAACTCTGATGGATAATAACAACAATTTGTAAGAGAACTAGCAAGCAAAAACAGAACAGCAATTCATTAAATTGTCTTCTTCAACCTGGGAAAAAGCTAAAGCCATTCTGAAAGCAGAAGACTGTACCACCAAAAGGAAAACTGGAGTGTTCAAGGAACATGGGTCTCATTATAAAGAGTTGTAGGCAACCACAGTAAGACAACTATTATGATTCCACTGTTTACATCCTTTTTGTTCTGAACAGTGTCAAAGCGATCCTGTCCACGTTTATTCAGAAGAAGAAATGTAATTTAAATCTAGTGGGACTTGCTTCAAAATAAATGGGGGTTGTGGCCATGATCTTCAAAAACATGTTTTGCTTTACCATGTTATGAACATGAAATTCATGCTATAATGAAACTATTTACTTTATGCAAGGATAATATAAATGGGCTCAAAAATATTGATGTATCCCTTGTGCAAAAGCTGTAGATTTCAGTGCAGACTTGCAGCAACCCCGCTCAGCAGGTGTTCTTTTGCATTCATTCCCAGTTGACATGACTATTATCTGCACAGATACAGAAATGGGAGAGGCCTCCCTTCTGAGACATTTAGCCTCTCAGAAGGTGGCACGATGATGCTAGCTTAACAATGATAAGCAGCAGTCTCTGAGCAATTTGCAGAAAGCACAGGATAAAACTGTAATACATCATCTCACTTTGTTTTGAATAAAGCTGCTCACTTTGCATAGCTTCCAGCAGGAATACTATTAGGTTATTTGCAACCCCAGGTATTTTTATTTTGGATGAAAATAGCTGGATTGCTGAATAAGCCATTAAATAGCAGAAGTATACATCAGGTGTGCATGGCTAAAAACTGCAAGAATAGGAGAGAGACATGCTTAACAGGAATTCCATATAATGAATATGAAAGCCATTTCCCTGGCACAGCCTGCGGCCCTTAAGGTAACAGTCTCTTCCATCTTAAAAACTCTTAAAACTGAGAAGCAAGTCAGCATGGTGCAGAAAACTGAATTTCAAAAAGAAGAGATCCTGTCACAAATTCCCACATGCAGTTACGAAACTGCATTTACACTTGGCTCTTGTATTTATTTCTGATGTGGCAAGGTCACCCAACCTTTACTTTGTTTTCCTTGGCAGCCAGATTGTTAATCTGCAACATTACAGGGTATTATAGTCCTTATCTTTTGCTATCCACACAATATGACTCTTTAAAACTGATTATGCAAGAGTATGAATAATTTTGACACTCTTACTTGTTTTTTCTTTTTGCTTGTCTTACTGATTTGAACTTTACCACCATTTCCTCCCATGCTATTACAGCTTATGGAATAACTTTGGAATAACTCTGCTTCAGTCTAACTTACTGCCTTGGCACGGATGCTTTCTTTTTTCCCTATCCCTATCTCTCATGTACACACACTTTTGCATGCAGCGTTATGCAAAAAGAAACATGGCTGCAACACCACAGCATTAAACCAGCTCTCCACACATAAATAAGCAGCAACTCCATGTTCAGTACATATTTAACTCAGGTGCATAGCTCTAACCTTCTGATGCTTTGCACGACAGCTCTTCCCTTATCCAAGAAGGAACTCTCTGGATCACATCTAATTCTGTCCAAACGCCATATATATAAAAAATGCATACCAATGCAAATGGCATTCCATAAAGACACCCTTGAAGGCTTCAGCAACCTGATGCTTCTCAGATGTTTAAGACTTCAAGTCTCATCACCTTCAGCTCCTATCATTTTCAGCTAGATGTATGTTTGTGCAGAAGCTTTAACAGAACCCCATGGAGATTAAAGTTGGCACCAAATGGCACAATTCCAACACTGCTTGCCACCCATTTCTACCCTCAACATCTAGAAAGAGGACCAAGAAGCACATTGCCGTGAGATGTTTTCAGCAAAGTCTATCAGCAAAATCATATGTCAAAACTCAGCCCACAATAATCCTATGTGCATGTTATAAAGTTTTTTGCTATACAACAGGCCTGCATAACACATGGATGGCCCACTAAACAGCCTTGTGTGCCCGCTGGTGTGCTTTGAAAACTTAACAAATCCACGGCCACCAAACACCACCTCCAGGAAGCGTTTGCTGCTGCCTAGCTATTCATAGCCATTTCCACCCTGAAAGACGTGCTGCCAAATGCCTCCAAGATCCACTGCTGCTGCTGCACCATGCCACTAGCTGCCAAACAGCTGATCGACACACCAGCTACTCCTCTGTGGCCTGTGATTACTTTTAAGGTATCAGTGTGGCTCTTTCCCCTCTACGAGTTGTGCAGGCTTGGTCTATAGTATAGATTTCCAAGTGTAATATACTAATTGCTAATGCTTCATAAAGCAGAGTTTCTCAACCTTGGCATGCTGGCTGGGGGATTCTGGGAGTTGAAGTCCACCTATCTTAAAGTTGTCAAGGTTGAGAAACACTGGCATAAAGCCTTCATGATTCTAGTTATCTCTGTTTCTACGTGCAAAAATAGAATCACAGAGATCATCTAATCCAACACACTGCCTAGGGCAGGAATCCACTACTATGGCACCCCAATAGTTCTAAAGGACATGAAAAAGAATAAAAAGTGATATATGAGAATGCCACTTATTTATGTGATGAAAGGACAGTGATTACGTTTCTATTATTCTCATTTACATTGGGGAAAGGGTGCTAAAATCCAGACACTGATTAGAAAAAATTATTCATGTGAAAAAAAGAATTTGATGGCCTTGCCTTTTACTTTTGTCTACCTCTCACCCAGCAGAAACTCTGGCTGCTAGAATTGCTGTTAAAGACTGACAACTGAAACAGTATTTCAGTGGGAAGAGCTGTAAAGGATAACAGCAGCCTTCTCCAATTAATGGCCACCCTGCCTGGGTATGATAGGATGAGGGCACCAAGGAGCCCAAGGCTTGGAAAGAGAATTAGTCTGTACCACACAAATCCATGGTTTGTGGAGTGAGTCACAATGGTTTGGTATATACATTGCAGTAAGCTAACACCATGGTTTGGAAATGAAAATGGCTGGGTTCATGCAACATACTGAGCCAACAGCAAACAAATCATATTATGTCTTAGCATTTTAACTGAGTTTACACATTCTGCTGAGCTATAACTTTCTTTGGTATTGGTATAGCATGCTGTAGACCCTGAAACCCGTAGCTATGATAAACAAACATGGTTTAACATAAACCAAGTCTGTTCAAATAGAAATAGTCTCACTGAGAGGTAAGGGTTCAGGGTAGTCAGCACTCTCTGTCATATAATTGAGAGGTAGATGTTTTATAAAGGAGCACTATCATCATTCAGTCTCTTTCCATATCTAAGCCCCTCCTACTGCAATCTGCTAGCAAACAAAACAAAAACCCAAATCCCTGTCTACAAACTGAGGCAAGTTGGCCAACTGGCTTTCAACAGAGAGGAATGATAATGACAGCTTGCCTAAAGGCTTCAGATCAGGCAAAAGAAAACACAGTATATCATCTCCATATTGAAACTCTCCATACATATCACTGAATGGGTGTGGGTGTCACAAACTACACTAAACTATGGATTGTTTAATCATGATTAACTGAATAAACCAGCATGACTAGATTCATACACTATGCTAAGTCATACACCATGATTTATAAGCCATAATCTGGATTCACTCAATGTGCTGTCAAATTTTTAAAAATCACAAATTATGGCTTAGCAGTATGTGCAGAACCTATCGCTGCCAGAAACTGCTTGCAACTAGACCCCAAATGGGTGATTTTTTTTTCTTCCTGTACAGTATACTAAATTCAAGTTTTGGACAGACGCTCCAATTCAGTTAGGGCTAAAAATATTTGAAATAAGACCCAACATTGATCTGCTGGACTACTATTTCATAGACCATCTAGAAATCTATTACACTGCTACCCACTGAGCAAGAGTGTGTCACATGTGCTCTAACTCCCCTCTCCTCCCAGAAAACCTTGAATGAGTAGCTATGAGAGGAATGATTGGGCCCCTCTGATACAAAATCCTCAATATGCTGATCAAACTCCATTTCTCTAGCTTTTCTAGGAAAAACTATAATAATTAAAGCCAAAGTAAAAAACTGATTCAGCATGACTTAGTGCTTTAATAGCTAAACTTGCTTCCACCTAGAATTCCCAATTGTGTAAACAAGTAGGGAAAGGGGGAAAGGTAATAGTTCATATTTGCTTTACTTAAAATAAGGCTTCTCTATATCACACTAGATTCCAAATTTGTCAGATCCCTTGTGACTGGGCAAGCAATAAGAGTTTCATGGACCTATCACGAAGACTATATATTTAGGTTTGGAACACATATGGACTTTGAGTTATCTAAGACAACTAGATTTTGCTATTCATACAGATTTCCAAACACTCAATCCAGTTCCTTCCAATATGCAATTTTTTTTTTCATATAAGTTTCTCCCGGAAAAGTTTCTGTACTACCTCAGAGTCACTTCTACAATCCTTAATAATTGCAGTAAAAACAAGCAATGTAGAAAGAAAAACTCTGGAAATCATTTGTAATAAAAAGCACATGAATATATTATCTAAAGTAATTAAATATTTACTGTATAGTCATGGGCTAATGCATAATTATGCACTGACTGATCTCTCCTTCCCTTCCCCCTACTGGCATCCTGGCTTCCATTCCAACTAAAGCATATTTCTGTAGTCCTGACCTCCAAATATCTTTGTTGTACTGTCACATATATTTCACTGGCAGCTTGAAGGTCATACATTTCATTCTCAGCTAGGCCCCAGTGAACCATACACCAATGGAAATTATAGAACAGGTATCTAGCCAGATGTTCTTCTCAATTCTAGGCACCTGTACCTTAATCCTTACTTTGTATCTCACACATATACTTCTTAGATAATATACTCCTCCTCTTTTCCTTTACATCAGAATAGGTGTGGCAAATATATATTATCCTTCGCAAGCTGGTGCCCTCCAGACTGGCTAATCTACAACTCCATTAATTGGTCTACCACATCTGGAGGGCATGAAGTTGGGGAAGGGTGGGTGAGATTATGGTCACTTTGTGCTCTCTAGTGTTTGGCCTTCATGCAAAGGATGCTGGACTAAGCAGATTTTAATTTGATTCAGTAAGTCTACTTGAGAGAAATCCACTTGAACCTCTCTCCTCTCCACTGACAAGTCATCACATAAATAATAATGGTGTCTAAGATATTGCCTTCCTGTTCCCTGTACCTTGCTACAACATCTGCTTTTCCAAAAGGAAAAAAAAATCCTTCCACCTTTCCTATTTTTTTAGGGGTCAGGGCTCCATCATTGCCAAGAAGACTAGGAAAGACAACTATGCCCTTTCTTTACCACCTTTCCTAACCTGGCATGGAGACTACTGTACTCTAAAAATTCCCAATAACTCTCATAATTCCAAGCAAAATGCTGACAGCACACTGAGGGGGTATTCAATTGAGGAAGGTTGCTTTAGAAAGTGGATAGGGTATAATTAGGCTTTTTAGAAGATATGAGACCTGAAAGAGCATCATACCCACCTTTTTAAAATATACAATGCAGGACAGACGTGCATTTATTGCTTAACCTAAACTATAGGCCGCCATTACATCATATCACCTTACAAATTACTTATACATTCACACCAGGTAGATTCAAGAATGGCTATTAATTGTAACGGTTCAATTAATTATTCCGGGTTAGTAACAGCATATCCTGAATACCAGATGCTGGAGATGAACACTTAAGGGAAGTTGTTACCTTTTACACCTCGCTTGCAGACTTCCCGAAGGCATTTACCTATCTCTGTAGGAAATAGGATACTGGACCTCGTGATGTACTCCAGTAGGGCTCTCCTCCAGTCCCCAGGAGAGGAGCACGGCAAGTACCCCAATAAATTACACCCGGCGTCCGCCGTCCAGTTTCCACGTTCCTGTCTGGCCTCGGGCGATCTCCACTCAAGGCCCGGTGACAGGCTTCTCCCCGTTCAAGGCCCCTGAGCCGCCCCCCTCACCTCCTCACGCCAGCCCTAAGCACGCTTGCTACTTCTGCGCCCGGTGCATCCATAGGTACATTCACGAGGGCAGGCGTCCGGATTTCCCGAGACACACGCTCGCTCCAGCGCAAGCACCCGGCCGAGCAAAAGAACTTCACCCAAATGTCCAGGATTGGAGAAACCGCAGCGGCGTCATCGAGCGGCGCGCGCGGCAGTCGGCAGGCTCTGGGAAAGGCCGCCTGCCGCCTCCTGATTGGTGAGCGGAAAGGAAAACGCGGCGGCCCAAGAGCTCCTGTGGGGCTGGTGCCTTCGCTCGAGCGCAGGCGCGCGCTCTCCGTGCTTGGGCGGGGCAGAGCTCGTTTCGTAATCGTTGATCGCGAGCAGAGAGAGTTTTTGGCTTCCTCCGAGTTTCGCTATACCTATATATCTATACCTATATCTATAATGTAATATATAATATATAAAGGTGTTAAATAAAAATACCTTATTTATCTTGTTTTTATTTTTTTCAAGCATTTTAATAGTTGTGATATTTTTTAACTATCAGTTGTACGCCGCCCAGAGTCACGTTTAGTGAGCTGGGTGGCTATATAACACTGTTAAATAAATAAATAAAAATAAAAATGCTGCTTTTGCAGGTTGGGTTTTTTTTTTTGGGTGCCTTCGAGTCTTTTTTTTTGACTCCTGGTGACTGCCTGGACGAGTCCCTGCAGTTTTCTTTGCAAGATTTTCCAGAAATGGTTCACCATCTGCTGCTTCCTAGGGCTGAGAGAGACTGGCCGGCCCAAGGTCACCCAGCTGGGTTCGTGCCTAAGGCAGGGCTAAGAATTCACCATCTCCTGGTTTCTAACTTGATGCCTTAACTCCTACACTAAACTGGCTCTTCTGCAGATACTGTTTGTATTAATACATATTTTCTTGGTCATGCCTTGCACTTTTTTTTTTTTTTTTTGCAAACACTGGTTTCCAAGTGGGGAGGTTTCTGATTTGGAAAAAAAACACTGTTTTTGGGGGTGGTAGAGGCTTCCAATATAATAACACAGGTTATAATTGGGAGCAGAAATCCTTGAGGTCAAAACCAGTGGCTTTTTAATTGATGGAAGGCTCGTTAAAAAATAAAAACCTATTTACGAGGCAGAGAGTTTTTGAAATAAACTGGTGCATTGCGTTGTAGACTGTTGATTCCCTAAGAAACCAGAGTTTCTATGGAGGAAGAACTTGGTATTACACAAACACTGTTTGATTCAGGCAGAGTCTTTTGATTGTGAAACCAACATTGATTTATAAAGTAAAGATGGTTTCATAACAAGCATTCCTTGAATGGGTCCCATTTGGGCCAGCAATTTGGAGATTATGGTTGAATCACTTTGACTCTTTGTGTTCATACTCTGCAGTCCTTGTTAACAAAGACTGGCATTTGTGAATGGTTTGGAAACCTGGTATTTATTCATTTGCAATCCTGCAAGCAGTTAACTGAAGTCTTGTGGAAATATTTTTGATTTAGAAAAAGCCAGAACCTTATTAGCCAGTACATTCAGTGGAGGGAGAAATGCCAGTCACGACAGGCCCATAAAAACTAAACTCATGTTGGCTTCATTGAAACATTTTTCTGTACTGAAATGAAGACAAAGTAAGTACATCAACATAGGGAATTCCTTGATTCAGACCCTGGGCCTTCCCATGCGGTCACTTTACCACACTACTAGTCAACACAGCCTCTGCATTCCTGCGTCTCTCTCCCTTTGGCAGATGAACTGTTTAACTGCTGGCTCAGTTGTGATAAAGGATAAGCAGGAAGGGGGAAGGAATGTCCAGTTGGAATTCTTGTCCTACCTTGCAGCTCCTGGGTTTTACCCCATCACTGCAAAAATGCCATGGCAGTTCTGCAGCTCTTTCTCACAAACCTCTTAAGGTCTTACTCTAAGACAAGTAAGGATGCTGCTGGAAGTAAGATGGTCACTAGATGATGATTTTTGTGCTTTACCATTTGATAGAGTTCTGATTGGCTCATGAAGTGTTCACACTATTTTAAGACTGATGAAAATGACTGATTATTTTGAAACAGCTTCTGAGAGTCTGAGGAGTGGAGATTGTAGGTATATAGAAGAGTGCAATTATTAATTTTCAGGAATGGTTTTTTGTTGTTGCACTACATTATTTTATATATATATATATCTCCCCTCTCACCCCTATAGGTGGTACATGTCTTCCTCAATCTCAGGTCCTCTACCAGAGGCCTGGGAGTTTGAGGGTTCTGTGTAGTATCTTAGCTGTTCCTAGCACTGCAGTCTTCTGGACAGGCTCTCTCTCTCTCTCTCTCTCTCTCTCTATATATATATATGTATATATAGCCTTCGAGTCAGTGTTGACAAGTCCCTGCAGTTTCCTTAGCAAGATTTCAGAATGGTTTGACATTTCCTTCTTCCTAGGGCTGAGAGAGAGTGACTGGCTCAAAGTCACCCAGCTGGCTTCATGCCCAAGGCGGGACTGGGACTCACGGTCTCCCAGTTTCTAGCCTGATGCCTTAACCACTACACCAAACTGTTTCTCTCATTATTTGATATACCACAAGGTAATTTATAGTTCTTTGTCTAAAAGGGATTTAAGCCAAGACATTTTAAAGAAAAGCCACAGAGCAGAAGATCTAAACTCAGCTTTTAAAACAGTGTAAACTTAGCTCCCAAGTTCATTAAATTTTAAAATATGGCTGAACTTTAGATATAGAGGTTGTAAACTAGAAGAAAGTTTTAAGAATGAATGATATTGGCTTGTAGAGAGGCAGATCTTATATCCCAGAAGGACTCGGCAAGTGCACATCCTTCCTGAGATTATTCTAATCAACACTCTATTAACCAGTCTGAAATAACAGACACTCCATTTCCAAGAGGATAATTGACTTTGAGAGCCAGTTTGGTGTAGTGGTTAAGGCACCGGGCTAGAAACCAGGAGACTCTGAGTTCTAGTCCTGACTTAGGCATAAAGCCAGCTGGGTGACCTTGGTCAGTCACTTATTCTCAGCCCTAGAAAGCAGGCAATGCAAACTACTTCCAAAAAAACTTGCCAAAAAAACTGCAGGGACTAGTCCAGGGAGTAACCAGGAGCCAAAAACTGACTTGAAGGCATAAACAAGATTTTAAAAAAAGACTTTTATTCTCCCTTAAACTCTGTACATGGAACTATTTTTAAATTCAGCCCTCCCCGTCTCACTGGCTATAGCCAAGAGTTGCTCAAGCCAGTCAGAGGTATAAAAAGAAACCATCTTGTGAGGGAGGGTCCATGAGGGACAAAGTGGCATAGCCCCAGTGAAAAAGAGTTAGTGCTTTATAAATTGTGGTGAAACGGACTGGAGAGTTAAGCATCTGTTTCAGTAGCAGGGCAAAGAGATCCAATTATTTGACCCCTCCCATCTTAAAACATGGCTGATGCTGAGGATAATGCAGGCTGGGTTGACATGTGCACCAGCCTGACTACATTCATGCTGGGCAACTCAGTGGTCATTGTTTTGTTCCTGGCTAAGATGGGTTTCCAAGGGGCCACTGCACTGGTGATTCATGTGACTGGCATTAACACCACTCTCCTGTTGACTTGTGACTGAGAACCAGGCAGAATGTACCAGATAAGCCATACAAACCTGTTTCTTAGGTTTTGCTTACATATGTGGATTGTTGTTCACCTTGGACAGTTTTTGCAGAAACATTTTGGCTAGTATATGTGCTTCCTATCTCTGTTTCATTACTCAGAATATTTGGTGACAGTTGTCAACCCCCAGAGTTTGCCCCCGAACTCCCTCTTGCTCAACCACAGTTTTGAATTTAATGTAGCTATCTTTTCCTCCTGAGCTGAGTTTGCTGTGGAAAAAATCATTTGCCCTGAAATGAAGCCACTTGTTTGGCTGGCTCAACAGGCTGCTAATGGTGGTTTGGGTGTGTGTATGTGTGTGTGTGAAATTGAGCCAACTCCAATTTCAACCACATTGTTCAGAATCAAAAATCAGAGACTCATACTCAAGTGACATGAGGTTTAAATGGCTGGCTTTGTCTCCCTTTGTAATGTGAGATGGTTTTACTGGAGTATTGAAATTGAGGTATTACTGGGTAATCTAATTGGCCTAGCTGGCTATACCCTGGTTTCCTGGCACTATTTTCATGAGGGTATAGAAGAGGAGGAGATGATCCTGATTCATTTCTTTGGGGAAGAGTACCTGGCATATAAGAAGAAGATAACAGTTTGCATATGGGACTTCTTCACGGTCTCTGGAGCTGCTCACAAGCAATTTCAAGAGCTGGTCCTCTGGAGGAAGGCCATTCCCTTTCATAACAGTTTGGTGGATGTAGAAGGTACAGCAAGTGACAAACGAAGATCAACCAGCCTTCTGGTTACTCAGAGAACTGGGCTGTTCATCATGTCTGTTGGTGACCTAACCTGTTATGAAATAAACAGCAAAAACATCTGTCATATATACTTTTATCAGTCTTTATCACATTCCTCCTGGGACACCATTGGTATGTGCTCTGGCACTAAGAAAAGCAATTTGGCCATCCCAAGGAGGGATAACTTCAAAGAGGAAAGAGCATTTTTAAAATATCAAAAGCACACACAGTTTTTTGGAAAGCAAAGACATTTAATCAGCTCCTTCTGAAAGGAGAATGTTTGTAATATTCAATAAGAATCACATGGGGTACTCCAGAAATGGCAGCTAAATAATTTTACCAAATGACTCTAAGGTGCTGTGAGTTTTTACACGATCAGACAGGCAGGATATTAAATAAATAAATGAGTTAAAGACTTGGTTGGGCATTTTAATAAACCCTAACAAATAACTATGAAGAGGGATTGGGGGTTGTCTAGTCTGTTGCACCAAGTGTCGTATGCATGCCAGTCTCCCTGTTGAGCAGAAGTTATGAATGTATGATGAAGATGGTGACCTCCTGGCTCAGGTTTGCTTCCTTAAAGCTAAAGTAGTGGAAGTGGAGAAGCTAGAAGAGTTTGGAGACATAGTAGAATCTGGCCTCAAGCTCTGCCTCAGCATTCATGAAGAATGAAGCAACATAGGAGGACATTGCTCCAAGGAAGAGAGAAAGGATCTCTCAGATAGGATTCAGTCCTTGGGAGCTGAACAGATATCCTCTGTTCAGGATAAGAATATGCATCTGGGTGGAAGGAGGTGGATTTGATCATTAGAGGCATAGACAGTACAGTACATGTTGCAGTTGACTACATGCTTAC